ATGGTATGAAAATAAAAGATGCCAAAATCCAAGTTGTCCTTTAGGAAGTGCAGTAAGGGTGCTATCGAAGTGCCAGTGTTACTGTTTGACCTCAGCAAGTGCAAGAGGAAGCTCAGATTGACTTCAGCACGTTATTGCCGTTGTAAGATAGGAAATAATAATAATAATAAAAAAAAAGGAAGTCTGATAGCCCATTCATTCTTTAGAATTTGTATGACAAGTCATGAAACTGGAGTTGCAAGCATAGATTTGGTAGAATTAATACAGGGTTTAGTCCTCGAGCATGTACTCCTGTTCATTTCTGAAATTTTCTGTACGAAGTGTGACTGCAGGATTGTAAACCCTTATTTCTGAGAATTTTCATTATTTTGTTACACAAGAAGCTGATTCTAGAGACACTATTTAAAAAGTATCAAATTAAAAGTCTCCATGTTGATGGAATTGAGACACATTCAATAGTCAGGACTTTAGGAAATCACTGAGAAATTGATTGGTATGTTCCTTTTGCTGACTTATCTTCCTTCAGTAAAAAAGATGTTCACAGCAGTTTCTGTGCTAGCAATTGGTACATTATGCCTAATTCCTCTTATATGTTAAAGTCCAGCTTCATGTATTTTAATTTTTCAGTTTCTATTGGGGTTTTTTTGCTGTTGTTGTTATTTGCTTGACAATTTTGCTTGGTTGGTTTTGGGTTTTTTGTTTGGGAGTTTATTGCTTTGCTTTGTTTTTTTGGTGGTGATGTGTTTGGATACACCTGTCTTTGCCTTCTGGAAAGGACATTATGGATCAAGGAAAATGAGAACTGGAGAATAGCTAAGATAGGGATTAAAGGCATGAGCAGTGTTATAATTTAAAATTTTCAAATGACTCTGGACTAAATGTAATGATTTCCAAAACAATTGCTACAGTTTTCTATACCTTAATATTTGCACATATTGATAATGTACCATATGATTGGCTTAGCAGCATGGATGGAACACATCAGTCTTCCAGGTGCAATATTCTCTCTGGAAGAGAATATATCCTTGGAATATCCTGCTCTTTTTGTCACCTCAGTTTTAACTTTTTCTGTAACTTGATCTGAAAATGATGACCAGCTTGAAATCTATATAACTTGAAGGCTTTATCAGTAAAACCCAGCACAGTTATATTTCTCAGTGGCTGTGATGTTGAAACCTGGGGAAAATCAATTTTTTCTTTTGCTGAATGGTATATTTGAAGCATTTAAAAAAGGTGAATGAGTGTGTTGAGGGCCTGTCATTCTCAAAGTACTTTCTTATGCTGTGTGTGTAGGTACATCTGCCTGCTAGCCCTGAGAGGCTGTGTGTGTTTGATGCATTGGATGTTGTGTCAGCAGGAAGGAGAAAAAGAAGAGATGAGGTCTATCAGAAAGAAAGTTGATAGCAAATGGTGTTTTGGACAGTGTGTATCCCCCCTGTGTAATATATTATGGAAATAATGATTCTGTCAAGTGATGCTTCTTTGTAACCTGGAGTGATAGAGTAGGGATTATGCATGCTCAAGCCATTCAGGACTGGGTAGATAGTTATCTAGAAATGCTGTAAGAAGTGTCTTTGCCATGAGAGACTTCGTTAGAGATGCAGTGGCAAGAAGTAGATTACTAGAAGAAAAACAAGAAGTAGTTTATTATTATTGTTATTATCATTATTGGGTCAGCTAGAGATGGGAACAAATATGTTCTTTTTGGTCCTGTTGTTATGGAGTTATCTTTTTTTTTTTTTTTTTGCAATTTGATTCCCTAATTTATCTTGTATTTAAGGATGAATTGTATTCTTTAACTCATTTTCAAGCTTGCTCAAAACAGTTGTTGCAAAACCATAAAAAGTTGTTAATTAATTAGCATAGATAGGCAATGAGAAGTTGGCTAAAGGTTTAAAAGGTGGTGTCAGGAAGCCATAACAAATAAAACATGAATGTAAAACCATCTGTAAGAAAGCCACAGAGCGAAGCCAGAGGAAGTTATTATAGTAGAATAAAGAACAAAATACTTCTGACCTGTATACTCTCATTAAGCAGAGATCAAGAAATGCAGCCCAAAAGGCAGGATAAAGTTAGCCTACCCTCTCAATGGATTGGCTTATGTGGCTGCTCTAGTTTGAAGGATTTCTGTGAAATCAGTGACAACAAACTGGTGCTCATTGCCAGAGGAGGATACTCTGGCTTCAGCCAATTTGATGATTCCCTTCTTCCCCTGAAAAACATGGGGACTCAAATAAGGTTAAATAGTATGCTGCATTTTAGGAATCTCATGTCGTCTGGGAATTATATGCAACATAATTGTCTTCAGAGCTGCCAGCATATGCAAGGTTGGACTGTAGGTTTGGACCTTCTCTTTTTCCTCATGTGATTCTTCTAGCAATGAAAGGTAGCACAACTTTCTTAGTTTTGGGTGCAAAACCCCCCCCCCAAAAAAAATTACCAAGAACTCTACACACAAACCCCAAATCAAACCAAACCAATTTGAATGCCATTTTTCGATGTTGATAAATCTCTGGGATTTTAGTTTGAATGGAAATTCTTAAAGAATGGAATATACCTGGTTTTTATGTACAGGTGTTAAGCAGGAATGTCGCACAGTGTATTTCATTTCCTCGATTAAAATCTTTCCCCTCTCTCGGTTCCTCCTCCTTCACATTTCTGTTCCTTTCCCACATACACAGAGTTAACTAATATCAAGTTTATTTTACTTCACTGCTTTAAGAAAAATGAATGCTGTGGCCAACAGAATGAAAAAATTTGATAAGCAAAAAAAAGGCAGGAAACATGGAAAACAAATTCCAGTGACCTAGGTAATATAAAATTGTTCAATGATAAGTACCAACATTAACAATTTCAGACATCTAAAAGTGTAAGATTAGCAATTTGAGAAACATTTATCTGGATGAGATAGAAAGTTATACATGAAACATAATGACCTCTCTGAAATTCATTCAGTATGCAGAGGTACTTATTTATGCAAAGAAGACAACTAGTTAATCATGTAAAAGAAAACTAGACAGTGAATTAGTTTCCTGCATTCTGGAGTCCTAGCTATGAAAAAAAGAATATATTTCACTAATTAAAGAGTGAAAATACTCACAGCTTTTAGAAAGAGAATGCAAGGAGAGTGAGACTGATCCCGGCTTTGTGCAACAGCCCAAGTTGTTGGTCTGAAACAATTTTATGATTTTATCATTTAGGCAGGCTAGAGTAAGAGATCTTCAACTTTGATTATATTGATTATATACAGCATAATAGTTCATAATGAAGATTATCATGCGTAGTTTCAAAACCTAATTTTCATATATTCTTGGAGCCTCCAGTAAAATTTAGCCAACATGAACATGCATGTTGTAATTTTAAAAAAATTCTTAGAAACTTCAAACTTGCAGTAAGAAGTTAACAATCCAATGTAATTTTTCAGAGGATTATTTTCTTGATTGTGCTGCAGGTATTTTAATTTTCTCATTATGTTCTTATACTTAATGATACAGGAGTGTGCATTCTAGATGTTTTATGTTATTTTAAAAAACTAGAGAAAGCGAAGATCATCTTGTTGCATGGGATAAGAATTGAATTTTATCTGAAGACTACATAATTTTACATAATGAAAGCTTTATACACAGTTTTGAAATAAGGTGGCAGTTTTTTACCTAAAATATTTAAAATTATCAGTTTTTTAAGAAGAATTTCAATAAAAAGTCAGTATTAGATTCTGTGTTAGAAAAATATATAATTTTATCTCTAATATCTTTAGTATTATCTCTAGTATGGTATTTCTAATAAATTCATCTCAGGCACCTTTCCTGTGTCTGAGTCTGCCCCAAGACCAAGTCCTTACCCATGTAAATGGGATTTAGCTTTTAACTGTAGGGGGCTGAGAGTCAGGTCCTCCTGTTCTTTATCTTTTGCATGAGCAAAATTGATTTCCATTAAACTGAATGAGAACAAGATCAAGTTCTGCATGGTTCCAATACTGTAGTTGTTTTTCGAAGTGCTATAGTTTTACAAGACTTCTGTTCTAAATTCAGTGTGCATGTTTGAGGAAGACTGTGATGTTTGGTCTCCTTTGATGCTGCACATCAGAAAAATATCTGCTGTCTTTCTTATTAAAAATAAGTTGAGAAAGCAAGTTATTTTTTCAGTCTCTCACAGTTTATTACATTCTCTTAAACATTTTTATGTGAGAGTCAATGTCTCTATAATGCTCTTATATTGGGTTTGGAGTTCTTTAATTTCAAAAGGTCCTTGTTTGTGGGTGATATTTATTAGGAAACTCAGTGTGTGTACATGTGTGTGCACAAAGTGTGCATTTATTTATATCTCTGTAGAGTGAGGCGGAGGAAGACAGAGTCGCCTTTGTTCCATAAGATCTACTCCTTAAATTGTTTGCACTTTCAGAAATGCTAAGATCAAATATGGAAACTCAGCTCTAAAGAGAAAATGTCCTGGAAAGGTTGGAACTAATGAAAAAGAGTAGGCTTACTCTCTTAACAAAATCATTTTCATCACCATCATGTCGTAATCAGATAATGTGAGAGATTATTTCTAAGCAGAACTGGAATTAGTCATATCAAATCAGCCTAAAATGTGATTTTGTTTCTAAAAGATTATTTCTCTTTTTATGTGCATTTCAGAAACATATGCAATAAATATTTAGACTCTTAATTTGCTACACATCAGTCTAAAAATTTGATTTGCTCTCATCATCAGAATTAATTTGCTTAATTGTTTTTCCTATCCCATCAATCTCAGTTTTGTATTAACTCAAACAATGACACCTTTTGCTGTTCGCACTTTAGTTCGATTTCTGTTCTAAGTTTATGAACAGTAATAGGCATCTGCTAGAATATTCATTAGCTTTGAATTGTGAGCTATGAAAAGGTGCTTTCTTTTACCTTAATGAAAGTTGCTCAGCGTGGGGTGGATCAGTAATGACATTTGATTTTAGCCATCCAGCGAATTTGCTTTTTATTTATTGACACATCTTGTCCAAACAGCTCCCTCGCAAGTTAGTGGCGTAATGAAAGAAAGAGTGCTGCAGAGGAGCGTGGAGCTTTCCTGGCAGGAACCAGAACATCCCAATGGAGTCATTACTGAATATGAAATCAAGTATTATGAGAAAGTAAGTGCTAAGATTATCTGTAATGTGCAACAATGTGGTGTTTGCTTTATGCTGGCTTGCTGCGTTGTGGAACAGTGCTAAAATCATCAGCTGTCAACTGCCTCGTCTCTCCAAAGTCAGTGATTTTGCTTGTTTTTAATAACCAGCTAAATCCTGCCATTATTATTGCTGTCATATGTCTCAAATATTATATTGTGGCATACTAAAAATGAAATATACACTTGAAATTGCCTTTCTTTCCTTTTTTTTTTTTTCAATGTTAAGTTGTACTTGATTTTTTTTTTACCATTAAATTCCTGGTTTTACATCTATTCTGCATTGTGTTTGAAGCTTGTTTCATTTCCTTCTGTACCAATGTAATTCTAGTCCTGAAATGATGTATCAAATAAAACTCCTGACTGCATTTTGTACTTCGTTATGAGCTGGGCATCTTATACTTGACATCTGAAAATTTTCAAAACACTTCCTAGACTTTTAGGAAATAAATATTCCTTATTTGTCCTTTTAAAAGGGACCAGGACTGTGAAATATATCTTTCACTTGTTCTGTCAACACAACAATGAATGGAAGGCTGCTTTTCAGTAGTAGATGAAGTGATCTCTGTTTCTGGTAGAGTGAAATTGCAATCTTACTGATGTCAGTCGGAGTTTTGCCATTCATTTCAGCATGTCTAGGGCTTCATTCATGATCACTTTGAAGTACTGCAGAATAAAAAAATTCTGACAACCGTAAACTGGATGAAAGCAGAGTGAAGGCAGGTTGTGCAGCTCTGTGTTTGTCATGGGACCCAGACTAAGTTTGGCTCCTCCAGATTCCCTGGGAAATTGTCTGTATAACGTATCATGCTCCTAATTTTTATAAAACATCCTGGGGAAAAAAAAAAAAATTTAATTACATTTAATTGCGATGAAAAAAAAAAAAATTAATAAAGAGACTCCTTTTGTGTCACTCATGAAGACATTTCTGCAGGCAAGGTAATAGTACCCCTTTATCAAAAAGAGCATGTCAGCTTGCTAGGTCACAGAGTCAGGTAAATTCAGCCCAGATTGAATGTAATATCAAGTGTCATATTTCATTTTCAGTGCTGAATTACACAAATATACTTATCAAAAGATCTTTATATGATTTGGGAAAGGAATAAATTTTTTATTTGTTGAGGCTAACTTCCAGTTTAAGTTGTTCACTCTAATGATTCTTATAATAAAATCTAACAGGTGGGTACAGATAGCTAAATAATTCTTTGGAAGAAATTCTACTAATTTTAGCAGATGATTTTTGTCCCTCGAGCATGTGTGTGTATTTACAAATGCAAATAAAGTCCAAGTATTTTAAAAATGTTACATATTTAACAAGGGCAAAACTGTCCTCTGAACAAAAAAAAAAAAATCATTTGAGAACCAAAAACCTTGCATTTCTTTAAGGTGCAGAGCTGTTTCTAATCTGTTCAAGTAAAATAAATAATTTAAATGGGTAATGTAAAATGACAGAAAAATTACGAAGATACTCAGCTTTTTATATAATGATAGCTTTTAGAATCTGGCTTTTATTATTTTCCCTATATACTGATTTTAATAACCAGCAGAATTTCATTGCCAGTTTTCTCTGTGTTTGCAAAAAGAAAAATTGATGTTAAAGTTTTTTTTGTTTTTTTTTTAGTGGAAGGACCTCTTCCAGTATTATACTTAGTGCAGTGAAATTAATAAAAGAGAATAAAAAGCTCATTCTAGCAGTCACAGATAAACTGGACTATATAACTTTAACTGAAGCAATTTTTGCACAAATACTGAAATGGTTGTTTTCCTTCCAAATAAATGCATTTCAGCTTTAAAATTATTCACAGTCTTCTTGCTCAGAATGAGAGAGGTCGTTTAAGTTTTGTTCCACCAGTTTAGAAGAGAAGAAAAATAAAAGGATTTGAACTTTCAGCTCCTTTTAGAGCCAAATTAAATCAAACATTTTTTGTCATTCTGAAATACTCTGATAAGTGTTTTTTTCACCTCTCACTTCTGGCTAGGGCTGGAATGGAAACGGCCTGAAATCTCCAAAGTAAGCCTGTCCTGTGAGATTTCTAGTGCAGGTTATTTTATTTTTTTTGTATTTATTTATTTATTTTCGAATACAAGGACTGTTGGCAATTCAAATAAGCCTCATTTATGCATCAAAACCCAAGCTGGAATTCCACTGTGGTTTACAGTCCTGAACCTGACTGTTTATGGTTTCCTTACTCTTGTGTGTCATCTCTAAAGCATTCCTGTTCTTTCTCACATACCAACACACACTCTGCCACAGTCCTCACTTACAGATTATTTAAACTCTCTAGGAGAAGATAGGGAAAATTGTGGCTGGCCAAAACTGTGGGCTTGCTCAAGTAACAGACTGGGCAAGAACCAGGAGAAGCCCTTACCGAATCTGAAAAAAGAAATCATGTATGTTCTGTATAACCCTGTATTTCAGCAAAAGCCATTGTTGCTTTACTGACTGTGACAGGGAAGGCTCTCCATCACTTTTAGCTGGTGAAATATTATTGAAATGAGTTACAGATTTATTCCTTCCCTCTGTATCCGTCTCATTAGCAGTGCTGTGTTCAGCTCATGCTTCTCTGGTCATGTGGTGCATTCAGATGGTTGGTTAATTCATCTCTTCTGCCCTTCAAATCAGGGTTGCATCTGCCGCCAAAAATCAACAGGGCTTCACATATCTATGCTGAAACATAATCTGTGTCAGTAAATGTGATGAATAAGTATAGCTTTTTGAATACTCTAATGATCTGTGATACAGCTTTTGTACTATTTGAAAGTGAGTTATTACTCATAGGGTTTGTAATCTTACAGCTTCAAATTTGTGGAGACTCATACTGAGCTTCTTTCCCTGGGTTCCTCTTTATGCCTTAGAGCCTAAAATTGAGAAAAGACTAAAAACCAGAGATAAAAATCCGAATGAATCCGAATGAAAATCCGAGTTAAGGACCTCAGAAATTATGCAAAATCCAGCCAATTATATGTTGGCAATATTGCATTTTTTAGAGGTGATAGAAGGGTACGATGTCAAAGTAATGATGTCAGAGTTTTTCCATTCATTTCACAATGTCTATGACTTCATTCATTATAACTTTGAAGTACTCTAGAAATAAAAAAATTCTGACAGCTGTAAACTGAATTAATGCAGAATGAAGGCGGGTTGTGCTGTGAAGGCAGCCCTATGTTTGTCATGTTCTGACAATGAAAGAAAAATTTCCCTGTCCTTGAACTGTTTAGACCTCACAGGTTCCCCTGGAAAGCTGTGGTTGAATTTTTCCTCATCAAAATTCCACAAAATTTAATCAGAGCCAAAAAAAGCAATCTTCTTTTTTTTTTGGATGTTTTCTGTTTTCTCAGTAACAACATGAGCATCCCATTTGAATTTTATGTTACACTTAGAGCTCATCATTGCATTGACAATGTTTTGTAATACTCCACAGAGTATGCTTTATTTTTGTCATTGGGGGAAGAGACCATTCAGCAGTTGAAATAAACTACCCAGGCTGGCTGTCAGTTGCTGTTGTGCAATCATGATAAAATCTGATCTGTAGATGTCATTTAATCTTTTGTATTATTGTTTCCAGGATCAAAGGGAGAGGACCTATTCAACAGTGAAAACCAAGTCCACTTCAGCTTCTATTAATAACCTGAAGCCAGGAACAGTGTATGTTTTCCAGATCCGTGCTTTTACTGCTGCTGGTTATGGAAATTACAGCCCCAGACTAGATGTTGCCACATTGGAAGAAGCCACAGGTAAGACATTAGGTTTAAAGGAAAATAACACTTTCTGTAGAGGTAGTAAGTACAGCAAGAAAGGAAAGTGTCATAAGCAATATAATTACAATTAGAAAGAATTTTGTTCTACATGAAGGTGAATTTTTGTCATTGTCTTTCGAAGGATGAGCTTCCATAGTTTATATTACCATAGAAGTCAAAACTAGCTTAATAATTGGCTGGAGGAGATTTGTTACATGTTAGATTCTTCTCCTTTGCTCTCCTTCTAATACACAAAGATTTTTCTTTTTTTTTTAAATTCAGATACGCTCTTATTTTTTCCCACAAAAGAAGTAAGTAGTGGTCAGCTGAATAACTCAACTAGAATCTTCTGTAACTGGGGAGAGAAGGAAGGAGATTTCAAGCCCCAAGGACTTCTCCAGGCTATTTTTTTCCATTTGATTTTCTGAAAAAAAACCCCAACAACTTGTTAGTTTAGTTTATGTGTGTGTCTTCAGCTGTAATTCCATCTTTAGTGTATTTTGAATTCATTGGCAATTTAGTAAAGAAATGGGAATCTCAAAGATACTAAGTTATTTTCAGGCTCATATAAAAAGTTGTCAGCTGTGTAACCAAAAATATTCTTCCGTCAGTGAGACCTGGTAGCCCTGAGCCACTTCACAGGAGCTGTGTCCCTGGCAGCGCCAGCCCCCTGTTACAGACCCAAATTTGGTTACCCTTGTTTAGAGCATTTGCTTCACGTTGACCTTGACATCGGGTCAGCCATATTGGGAGCTGGAAATACAGGGATACCTAGGCTGTGAATTCAAAGGGTACGGATGCCATGCACTCTTTGGACCCTGGGCAGTGGTCTATCTAAGAGTGTGTGCAGACAGTGAATTTAAGGGTATGGATGCCATACACTCTTTGCACTCCATGCAGCAGTCTCTCTAAGACTGTGTGCAGACAAACATTATTGTATCCTGTTAATTGCATCCAGGTGTCGCCTGAACAACTTGTGGTTATTCTTAATATACAGTGGTTAATATACAGTGATTCCACCTTAGTTCCACACAGAATATAAAAACTATAAATAATGAATAATACCACATATCTAATAGACATAATTGAAACAGTAATTATCATAATAGCAGCAGTAAGCTGTTATTACTAATATTATTAGCTCTGTGTCTAATAGCATACTTCCCATCTGTAGAAAAGTCAGTAACAGAATCCCCATTTTGCGGAAAGGGAACCTGAGGTACAGCCAGAAATAATTTCTTATTTTGAATAGTTTTCTGGAAAACAAATTAGAAGTCTGTCATAATAAGTTTCTGCTAATTAGATAATTTATTGTCCATAGTGGTTTAAAATTATTGCATCAAAATATTTCCCCAACATTTCTTTAATTATCTGAGTATTTTTTTACATACTGAATGTAAGCAGACTGGTAGCTGCTAATATTAGCAAAGATGATTTCAAAGATAAACAGTTTTGACTGGAGTTTGGTCAACATATGGGAGATTAGAAAATCCTATAATAAATGCATCACTGACCACTCTCCTGTACTCCTTTTCTGATTCAGATGATGAAAAAATGCATATAAACCACAGGGATTCTTGGCCAGGATGCACACCAGGTTTCTTTTGTCACAGGCCAGCTATATGCTTTGAGATGCCGTGAAAAATGTCCTGTGTTTTCATTAAAGAAGATTCTAAAAGTAGCATATTTTCCATTATCTTGACATAACATTATGAAATATAATTCCCAGCAAGGAAAAGCATCCAAGATTTCCCATATAGGGTTTTCAGAAATAATTAAAATGTTGGTAAAATATAGCAAATTCCATTAAGCTCTTCTGAAATTGTTTTACATTAAAGTATTAGTTTCTTGTATTTTATTTATAATTTTATCAGAACCTACAGATTCATCAAATTTGTCTATTGTTAGCATTCGAAAGGAGGACCTTTATTGGATTGTTTTTGGGAAATGTACCTCAAGGGACATACCATGCAGGTGAACACTAAACTGTCTTATGTTACAGTTTAGAGGCTTTGGCTTCTTCTCATTATTACATGGATTTCTGAATTCAACTTTTAAAAATGTCAAAGTATTTTAAGAAAAAATGCACACATGTATACATTTGTGTAAGAATATATGTAATAACAACCACATTCAGTCATGTTGCCTACATGGATTTGTCCTGGCACTTCCTCTGGTTGGCACTGTTTGGTTGGTGCTGTTAATTAAGTAGATTTTTGAACAGTCTGCTGTTTTCTGAATCGTGATAGAAACTGTAGAGCCACTTTTTCAATATTTGAGGAACTATTATATCCATTATATTAATACTATCTGATATGTGAAATAAACATATATTATACCTGTATTGGATCATATCATACATGTTGGGTATTGCATAGATATTTATGGAAAAATTTCAAAATTATGAAGTAAATATGCTTTATAAAGGCAAACCATTTCTGTTCTACGCTGTGTTCAATCAATGGCTTCTAGTTGTATTTTTTTGTTGTCTGGTTATTAGAAACAGAAGTCCCTCTGGAAAAACACACAAATGTATAAAATATCACTGAAGTGCCAATTCTATCTCCTGGTTCACTGGCATATTTAGAAGTCAAGTTAAGTGGTTTGTAGCCAGTGGACCTAAAGGCAATCCTCTGCTTTTTGTGATGGAAGCTGATCTTTCTACTTACAGAATCACAGAATCAATTGGGTTGGAAAAGACCTCTGAGGTCATCGAGTCCAATCTTTGGCTTCTTTACGGCTCTTACTGTTAAAGTAGAAGCGCTTGACAAAACCTGGCATGAAGACTTTGCTTTTTCCTTTTTCCATGAATCAGAGTAAATCGAACAAGATTGAAGCATTGTGCATACGTAAAATTGATCTCCAAAGTCTGAGATACCAATACTACAAATTCTGCAAATTTTTGTAGAAGGCATAAAGCTCATACTTAAGAAATACTTAAGAAAGTAGTATTTGGCATGCATGGATCCAGTTATCATTGAAGTTTTCATGGTAAACTTGGTCAAGAATTCTTTTCCAGAAATTGTGCATTTGAAGTTGCTTGCATGAGAAAAGGTTGTTGGAGCATCAGCACAGCATTTCAGCTGATAGCCTTTTTTAAATCCTCCAGGGTGTTTAGATATGCATTCCCATCCCTACAACCATGTATTTAAAAGTTGGTTTAAATTTAACTCCTTTAAATTAAGCATTGTGCATTGGATAGCTCAGATCAGGTGTCAGCTGCAGCTGAATGCCCAAGTACCAGCTCCCTGCATTGCCCCCTGAGCCTGAGCACTGCTTAAGCAGAGGTAAGAACTTCCCTGTCCTGGTGCTGATTCCCTGTCATTGCTGTTGTGGCATCACCTGTGACAGGTAGCCATGCATGCACCCTCTGAAAAGACCTTCTGTATCCCAAAATCATTCCTCTAAGAACACTCTAGCATCTTTGTTTCTGCCAAGCCACAGGGATCATTCCAGAAGCTGTGCTCTGATTCACCCTTACACCAGCAGTCTGAGTTCATCACACAGGAGAAGCAGCAGAGTACCTGAACAAGGCAGATGTCTTACACTGCTGTCACTGAATTTATACCAGACCATGCCCACAATCAGCCCCCTCCCCTCTTTTTTTTTTTTAAGATATAAAAATAAATCATACATTGCATCCCACCTGTCTTACCAGTTGGCCAGTGTACCATATCTCCAACATTTTCCAGAGCCCAAAAAACATTGTCTACTTGCTTCCAGAATGTGCCAGTACCCAAAATCTGTGAGGCACTTACATAGAGCAACCCACTCACATATGTCAGCCGCTATGCACTTCTCTTGGCTACTGGACTAGGTGACAGGCAAGACTGGGGATTTTTCCAAACTTTTTTGGATGGATGAAGCTTCACACCCTGGCCAGGATGCTGCCTCTTCTTCACTTCCAAGTGAGGTTTGCAGTGAAGTTCAAAGAGAGATGGAAATAGTTTATGGAAACACTGTGTTTTACAGAAATTTAACCTTCCTTGGAATTGTCTGTTTTGATGACCTAGATAAGTTGCAGAACTGTGTTGTATGACTTATGCCCCTATGCTCTTGCACAAGACAGTCACCACTAATTTCTTAAAAGCGGCATGAGTGGAATATAGGCAAGCCTACAGTAGCATCCTACTGACCTGTGTATCTCAGAAAGTTATAGTTACTTAAAGATAAGCATTCTTTTTTAGTTCAAGAGTTATAGGAATTGTGTCATTTTCCTCATGTGCATTAGAGTGAATATAGAAAAATTACAAGTTTCTTCAGGAAATAAAATTAGAGGGGTATGTGTATGATGTGTGTATAATTTCCCTCCAGTGCAGAGTATTCTAAATCTGTGTAGTGCAACAAGGGGTTTGTTATTTTGGGGGAAACAGTTGGTACAGGTCAGTGTCAGTGAAAAAATAAATCATGTTGATTGGCTTACTTCTCCCAAGAAAATTCTGGGTTATTTGTTTCTATGGGAACCTCTGAAGTCTGTAACAGGAGCCCAGTTCTGTGGAGTTCATAAAACCTGGTATAGGCATTCCAGTTCAGTTACACTATCAGCACTACACCATTTTAGCATACTGTTAATTTAGTAATCAGATATCAATTTGGTTTCCTTTTTTCCTTCTCTTTCATCTGTTGGCTGCATTTCAGTCATGGGACAGTTTACACGGCCCCAGGCCTGCTGGAGACAGATGGGGTTCACCTATCTTAAAAGGGGAAAAGGATTCAAGTCCTGATTGACAGGACTTGAAACTAGGTTTGAAAGGGGAGGGGGGTAAGACCAGGCTTGCTAGAGGTGAGTCTAGGGGTGGCATGCCAGTGTTGGGGGTGAAATCAACCCAACTGAAGTACATTTACACCAATGCACAGTGTATGGGAAACAAACTGTGAAGGGGTGGAAGGAAATATTATAGGCACAGAAACAGCCTGCCCCTGTGTGCTGAAAGATGAGCCAGTGGGGAAGAAAACTGGAATGGCTGAATAGGGAGCTTTCACTGCAACTCAGGGAAAAAAAGTTTATGATCTTTGGAAGAAAAGGGGCAGGCAACTGAGGAAGCATATAAGGGTGTTATTAGGTCATGTAGAGAGAAAACTGTGCAGGTGAGAGTTCAGCTGGAACTCAATCTGGCCACTGTTGTGAAATAGAATAAGTGTTTTTTTTTTAAATAAACTAACCACAAAAAGGGTCAAGGAAAATATCCATCCTTTTCTTGATGTGGAGGAGTGTAGCCAAGGATGAGGAAAAGGCTGAGGTCACAGAGTACTGCAGATTGGCCAATGTGACATCCATCTACGAGAAGGGCTGGAAGGAGGGTCTGGAGAGCTACAGGCTAAGATCAGCCTGACCTTGGTGCCAGGGAAGGTCATGGATCAAATAATTTTGAGTCTGATCAAATGGCACATACAGGACAGCAAATGGATCAGGTACAGCCAGCTTGGGCTTCAGAAAGGCAGGTCTTGCTAGATGAATCTGATCTCCTTTTATTACCAAGTTACCTACTTAGGGGATGTAGTCCACCTGGACTTTAGTAAAGCCTTCAATACTGACTCCCACAGCATTCTTCTGGAGAGACTGGCAGCCCATGGCTTAGACAGGTGCCCTCTTTGCTGGTTAAAACATGGCTGGGTGGCCAGGCCCAGAGGATGGTAGTGAATGGTGCTACATCCAGCAGGTGGGTGGTCACTAGTGGGGCTCCCCTAAGCTTAGTAATGGGACTAGTCCTGTTCAATATTACAATTGATGATTTAGACTTCCTCAGTAAGCTCTCAGGCAACACTAAATCACACCAGAGTGTTGATCTGCTGGAGGATAGGAAAGTTCTGTAGAGGGATCTGGACAGTCTGAATGGATGGGCCAGAGAATACTGTGTGAGGTTTGTAAGGTAAAGTGTTGAGTCCTGCACTTGTGTCATAACAACCTCATGCAACACTACGGGTCAGAGGAAGAGTAGCTGGAAAGTGGCCCAATGAAAAGGACCTGGAGATGCTGATCAACAGCTGGCTGAACATGAATCAGTGTGTGCCCAGGCGGCAAAGAAAGCCAATGGCATCCTGGCTTGTTTCAGGAATACTGTGACCAGCAGGATTAGGATAGTGATCATCACTCTGTATTTGGCACTGGTGAAGCCACACCATGAGTCCTGTATACCTTTTGGGCCCCTCACTTTGGAAAAGACATTGTTGCTGGAGCATGTCCAGAGAAGGGAACAGAATTTTCAACAGCACAAGTCTGATGAGGAGAAACTGAGGAGTTGGGGTTGTTTAGCCTGGAGAAATGGAGGCTCAGGGAGAAGCCGCTCTCTAAAAGTACCTGAATGGAGCTTGTTGTAAGGTGAGGGTCGGTCTCTTCTCAAGGACAAGACAGAGCCTCAGGATGCACCAGGGAGTATCAGGAAGAATTTTGTCACTAAACAGATGTTCAATCATTGGAATGGGCCACTCAGGGAGGTGTTCCAAGTGCCACTGTAAGCAGCATTTACTGCTGTGGATTAGTTCATGTGATGGTGGTATTCAGTCAAAGGTTGGACTTGATGATCTTGGAGGTCTTTTACAACCTATGTGATTCTATGATTCTGTGATTCCAGCTGACTCCCACTTACACAGTTCCTCATGTCTCATCCTCTATTCATCTTCTGGTTCAGATCCAGAGCTCAGGAGAGCTGTGCTTACTTAATGTATCTGAGTACATGGCCACCCTTATTAGATGTCAGGCAAGCAATGTTTTTAACAAGCTTCAAGGTTTCTCAGGCTAAGTATTACATCCTCAGTTTACATTAATGTGACATGTATACATTTACATATATTAATAGAATTGGCATATCTGAATAAAAAGAGCAATAATGTGGGGATATTTTAGCATGTAAATTCTCTGAAGCATGGAGAATTCTATTTTGTATTAATGTGGAAGCACCTTTTTGTTGCTAAGAGAAACAAATGGTAAGTAATAATAGCCATTTACAATGATTAATAGCAGTAAGAGATTGAAATATGCTACCTAGGAAATCTGTGTTAATAGTGTTTCAGCACAAACATTTTTCTTAAAGACTATTTCCTTGGAAGCCCTCAAAGTCATATCAATGAGTTTTAGAGGGGAGGCTAGGAGCAGAGTTAGGGATTACTCTCCTACTGTCCCTCCTTCAGGGATATCCAGGACTCCCCTTTTAGGAGGGAGTCAAAACAGATGCAGCAAAGCAGTAGTAGGGAGTGGAAGTGGCTGATGTAGTGTTGCTGGCTGTCAGGTAATGGCTGTACCACTTTGGCCAAGATAATTCAAGCTTGGCTTCTTTCTATTCAATGTAGACAATCGTTAACTCATACAGCATTTAGTTGAATTTCCAATAGAGGCCCTTCTTTAGACTAACTTCATCCATGTAAATGTTTCAGACAAAGGTAGTCTACAACAGTATACAGTCTACAATTCATGATGATTGACTTAAATTTTTGAAGTCCCTCAGTAGGGATTAATTTTTAACTAATCTCAAATCTGTGCTCTGTTTGCAGCCACAGCTGTTTCCAGTGAACAGAATCCTGTTATTATCATAGCTGTGGTTGCTGTGGCAGGAACAATCATCCTGGTCTTCATGGTGTTTGGATTCATCATCGGACGAAGGTATTGCATCTTTGATGGATGTAAGCACATCTGACGCCACTCTTTTGAACTCTTGAGACATAAGTAGAACCTGGGATAGTAATTTGCAAAACTGAAACAGAAAAATTCTCTAGTAAGGACAGTTTTCATTTAAATCCCGTTATCAATTATACGGTTTGTCCTCTTACTTTGGCAAGATACTTGTATCAAGATGTTCTTTTTGTCCTGTGTAAATGTGCTGTAAAAGGAACCCCTAGCAGGTTCTTTGCCTCTACTCCTCAAAGTCTCCCTTTCTGTTCAGTTTTCTCACATGGAGAAGTCTGACACTTTATCTGATCAGCCTTTAAATGACTTTACATTCAAAAAAAAGAGACACAGCAGTAAGTTTAAGAATAACCTCATGTAAAACAGTGTTCTACTTTCAAGTTCTTTAATCCTCTGTTTTATCTGTAGAAGCCTTTCACCAGAACTAGAATTTTTTTCTCCAAGACCTGTCCCGACTGGTATTTGATACAAAAGCCTTTTGATTGCAACTGTTCATGATTTATTTAAAACTCTGCTGTCAATAGAATTATAGGTGAAAGTTTCAAAGGGCCTACAGCAGTTAGGTGCTCAGTGCCTGAAAATCCCAGCCTGCAGAACTGATTTTGTCAGGACTTTAGATGTGATAAGTAAATCATTATTTACTAGTAAAACTGGTGTTTTCTTTTCTTTTCAGGCATTGTGGCTATAGCAAAGCGGATCAAGAAGGGGATGAAGAACTTTACTTTCATTGTAAGTGTTTTGCTTTTTTTCCCGCCTTTCAAAAATTCCAAATTGCAATAGTGTAGACAATACTAAACCAAGACTCCATGAAAGATAATGCCATAGGAAATTCAAAAATGCTGTGTAAATAGCAGGTGGGAAGTTAAACATTGTAAAAATGTGAGCTACAAAAAACGCAGATTAAAGTCAACATTGCTCACACAGATGGTTTTATTTCTATATATATCTATGATATACTGTTGTTTTCATTCTGCATATTTTGTTTTCTTTTGGTTGCTTTGAATACATGTTTCACATTGTCCTAATGATCCCTCTGAGGTGCAGCATTCAAGAGACCTTTGCCTAAGTGACTTTTTGATCTTTACCTCAGGCAAACTTCAGGTGAAGAAAATGTGAGTCACTGCATCCCCCTAAAATGAAGCTGTTCTGCTCAAAAGCTGTGTGCTGCTACTGCGAATACAGTAGTACCATCAATATTTACAAAACACGATATCCTTAAAAATAGAATATTTAATGTGAAAAGAAAGGTCAGCCACTTCATTATTGTTGTGTGATGTACAATCACTTGCTTAGCTAAGAATAGTACCTAAAGCCTCTCTTGTTAAAATCACATCTACCATTTCAACTTAAACTAGAACCCTGGGAAAACTCAGTAAAACACATCCTTCTTGGATTCATGACAATTGAAAATGTAAGGGGAAAGGAATGTTCTAATCTGTTTTAGAATTAGTCATTAACTCAGGAAGCGTGTTAAACTAAGTTGCAAAATTATTTTGAGCAACCATAATTGAAAAAAATCACAGAATTAAACTGAACATAAGTTCTGATGCAGAACAATGCCAGTCTTTCCAGTCTTCTCCCATATCTGGTCACTCTCATATTAGTACATGTTATTTAGTCATGCTATGCTGTATTTAGCCTTTGTTGTCTACCAATAATTGCAGTTGTACCTTAAATCCATCAGATTATTATTTTTTTATGAAAGCTATAGGGATTGTTTTAAGTGTGTTAGAATCATGAGCTATTATCTAAAAGTAACGTCACATGGAAAATGAAGTAGCCACTAGTCATAAATTCTAAGCATTTTCTCAATGCATTCTTCTTTAAATGAATAGTTCTAGCCAAAGCTCCACTCAAAATCAGATCAAGGTTCTGTTTTACCTTTCTTCCCTGAAAAAAACAGCTGTAAATTGATCACAGTTCCTAAGTTTGGGTGTGTGGCTATCTAAATTGTTTAAATGCAGTGAGTGTCTAAGTAGTGACATCATTGCAGCTTTAGTCAATCAATTCATAAGCTGCACCAGAAAGGTGGAAAATATTAATGAGATTAGAATTATGTATCATGTACTTTGCAGTGCAGCTGATTTAAAAGAATTTGTCAAAAATCTCATATTACTTAAATGCTGCTCTTCTGAGAGTGATGGATTTGAAATTTGCCTCTCATAATGCATTATAAGCTTTTCACATCTCCAGAAGAGCTACTGCTTTTACTTTTAAAATCCCCATTATGTCCTTGAAGGAAAAGATCAGCTACGTATTCTTGTTTTTCAGTTTATTAACAAAAGGGATACACTAACTAAATAATTTATCTCTATTGTTGGCAACATTTTTTCTTTTTTATTTCAGTAAAAGTGTAAATTAGTTAATTTGAAAGCTGCTACTTAATAATTGATAGTTGATCCAGAAATGGTGAAATTTTATAAGTGTTCCTTTTCCTCCTTTTGGTTTCAAGAAATCTGGTTATCTAGCAAATTAGTCTGATTATTGAGCATACATAGTGTTTCTTAAATCATGGCACCAGATAGAAGTCACTTCTTGCCAAACTAGTTTTCCTTCATCTGTTGATTGTAGGTGTAGCCTTTAATTTCATTTGATAGCCATGTACAGAGTGAGATGGAGCCCAGTGCTGTGGTCACCAGCTTGGTCACAGAGCTGTGCACACCAGTTTGGTGGCCTTTTGCACACCAGTTTGGTGTCCTTTTGCTCTGTAATAGGTAGACAACATTCTTCTGCACTGAGATACCAGACTGGATTTTCAGAAATGTAACTTGCAACAAGCACTTACTTAGAGCAACAACTTACAAACATTTTTAAAGCAGTGCATTTAATGGACCATCATATATTTCATTTCAGTTCCCTTCATCTCTATTTGATCTCAAGTGCTACACTTGAAGATACAAGTACAATGGAGGAGTTTAGTCAAGCAATTCAGATTTATATTTGGTTTCCTCCTCCCTTTTTCATCTAAGAATGTCTGCACATGCAGGCCAGCATTATTTCACGTTGCTATGCCAGGATAGCCTTGGCCTGTCAAAATGTTTTATGACAGCTTGAACAAAGACCCGTCAGAGGCCCACTTGAGATTCACAAGGTTACTTCCAGTCCAGGCCCTTTATCACAAACACAGGAGGATGTCTCCTTCTCCATCTCCTTGGCTTAAAGCACTACTACCAGAGGTCAACCTACTACTTAATTCTCATTTTGTCCAGTCTCTTTTGGTTTTAAGAAATAAATATTTATAATTAAAAAAAATATCAGCATTCAAATTTCAAATACAGCTAAAAGAACAAAGAATTTAAGTACATTATGTGACAGATAACAACATCTGGGCAACATTTCAAATAATTTCCCTGGATGTCAATTCATTATATTACTGAAACAATTTCTGTAGGTTTGTTTTTATTTTTCTTATGGTTTGTGGATTTAGGTCATTAATACCATCTAAAACATAAATACACATGATTACTAAGCTGTTTTTCAGTATGATTTCAAATTTAATATATTTTATGTTAAATTCAAAGAATACAAAGCCACTGAAAATTATTTATGTTTTGTATTGACTTTTGATCCGGTTCTTGTTTATATCAATTAACAGAAGAACATTTTTGCATTTTCATATTGAGTTTTAATTCACTGATTTAATTAAAGCTCAAGAGTATAATCCTTCTGAGCAAATTTGTGTCATAAAAATCGACTGATTAATAGATTTCCAGGAGCTTGTACTTTGACCAGAATAGTGAAAGATAATTTACCTGAATCATCCTCAAACTAAGGGAAAAAACTGCATGCTGGCCAGAGCACTATGCTGCCTGGGCTGTACTAAGCATGGAGAAAAAATGAGCAAAAAACAAGTTATTGCATATTATTCACTTAGGTGCTTGAGAAGGGAGATAATTGTGCCACAGAGGCCACTTTGCCTTCCTGTGCCTTTACAAGTTGGCTGCAGGTGTTTCTCATGTTTGTATTATAGTGCAAGAAATACACCTAAGGTTGTAATTTCGGAGTGCTGTGAATAGTTTGACTATTGCCACAGTCTACAAACAATATTATATTCAGTAGATTAAGCAAATTCAAGGGGGTGGAGGAGCCTTTCAAATCCCACTAGAGGAGAGAAATAACATAAAGAAATGCTGTTTACACATCCTGGGTGAAGAGGATAAGATGTCCTTACACAGAAAAGAAACTTTCACCTTCTCTGCTGGCATTATACCCTTTCCCCGCTTTGTTTTTACTCCCACTCAACCCTTGCATTTTATTCCATTAAGCACTATTTAATATTTATTGTTCTTTCAGTTCAAGAGGAGATGCAGATGCTAATGTTAGTAATTTTTTAGAGATGGGATTGTTTATACTTGTGTGTCAGCATGCTTGCAGATGATGCCTAAAACTAAGGTTGCCTCTCAGAGTGGCTCTGGCTCAGGCGGCATGGAAACAGGTTCACTCTTCCAAGGAGCACTCTGCATAATGAAATTCCTGGGCTGACTGCACAATAAGTGCTTTTGCTTCATCACAGTCATGCTTTCTTACATCATTACAGTTAAATTTCCAGGCACCAAAACCTACATTGACCCTGAAACCTACGAGGACCCAAATAGAGCTGTCCATCAATTCGCCAAGGAGCTAGATGCCTCTTGTATTAAAATTGAGCGTGTGATTGGCGCAGGTAAGGCTGCCGTGGCTTCCTGATTCAACTGTTCCATTTAGCCGGGATCGAAACTCATTCATCATAATGACAGGCAAATAATTATACCTCAGGTATAGAAGAACTTTTTGAATTTGCCAGAGTGGTTAAGAGCAATGAAGCCGCACTCGCTTCTAAAATGTAAAACAAACAGGGGAAAAGCCCAGCTACAACTAAAAAAACCCAAATAAATGAGTAAAATTAAAACTCTTGCTTGACATTGAAAGCTTATGGGTTTTTAATCAAGTATCTGCTGTTAAAATTGGAACTGGGGGGAGTGGGCCAGTTGTGCTGCCTATTATTTACTGTCAGAGTAAAGGCGTTAGGCATTTGTGCAAATTCTGCTTGCTTGCCTTTTGCAAGGGGGCTTTTTGACCTCTGCAGCTTTGTTCATGTGAGTAAGGAAAACTGGCTGCAGCACACAATCTTAAATAGAGAGTGGGAAGGTCTTGTTTCTTTATAACAAAATCTTCCCTAAGGCTGTTTTTCCTTCTACCATTTTTCTTTCTGATATTTTATGAATACAAAAAGTTATTGTTTAACTTCTTATGACTGATTGTAATTGCACCAGCACTACATTGCTTTTTTTCTCTTGAACTGTCTACCACCTACTTAAGCCATGGTGTTCATGCTCTAAAAAGGCAGTTTCATTTGTTTGCATTAATAAGATACGTGACATTTTTATTGCACTACTCCATGTAGTGAAATTAAGTTTCCATGAGTAAGAAAAATATCAAATACTTTGGATTCCTGGAGGAAATGTTCTTTTGCTTTCCTGTTGTTTTATATAAGTATTGGTAGAATTCTTTTAAAATCACCTGTAGTTTAGCACTGTAAATTACATGTTGTGGTATTATTTAAAAACAGAAGAAGAAAAATCTTTAGGATAAGCTGTTTTACGTGTAAAAAAATCTTTACACTTAGAATTCACAATGCCTTTTAAAAGTAACCTCAGTCATGTTGAATCATGTCTTAATCAAGGAGTAGTACCATTGAAATTAACCAGACTGCTGAGCAAATTATTCCTTCTATGAGTAAGTGCATAAGAATTCAGCCCTTGCTAACTAGTAATTTTTGTGATGCCAGAATGGCAGCATCTCTTCTAATAGATACACAATATGCAAGATTAGCATGGAAAATTTGCTGAGCTTTATCTTTTGCTTTGAGTTAAAAAGCTACCAGCATAGCAACAGTTCAGAGCACAAAGATGTATTCAGTTGGATTTTGCTAATGCCTTCTGAGAAAAATGGTGAAAACACTTGAGCTGCAGAGTATACAGTTTAAAATGCATTTTCACTGTTATGACAAATTCCAGAGTGTTAATTTTCTTGACTGCAGATGAAGTTATTTTTTATTTTAATGAGTATAATTGATAGCAAAAACAACTAACGTGTGTCAGTAGTCAATCTGAAGAAAGTTAATTAGGAGTGCAGTGGTGAAAGCATATTGTGTATCATGTTTAGTTATGGCTTTAACCTGTTGATGTAAATAGCAAACAGGAGTGAAATGAAATGCAGTCCAGGAACAACAGAAGCAAGCAGACCCAAAGCAGCAGTTGAAACTCATACATCAAAGAAGAATATGGAACTTCTGCTAGTGACGGCACCAGAAAAGCCACTTAGCAATCTCAATATGCATCAGCAATGCTGGCCACATCAACTATTGAGTAGTGCCACTCTCTCAGACACAAACAGGGTGCAAGTATGCTTGTACTCAATTTGCATGAGGGATATGTGCTTTCCTCGCCAACATTTTCATTACCATCCCGCTGTGGCCACCTGTCAGATACAGAATATGGTGTCCACTATGTTAAGTTGTTCATACCACACATCCTTTGTTTTAGCCTCTGCTTTGTTGACATGCTGAGCTAGTGGCTGTGCGGCTGTGCAGTATTCCCTCTCTTGTTGTCATATTTTCCTGTTTATTTTGGGGCATCATTTCAGCTGAGTGTACTATTTTCTTGGGAATAAAAGTAGTTCATTGGCTAGCATCCTGGCCTGAAATGCATAACATACAAGTTGAAATTTCTCGTTTGCCCAAGTGTGTGTGATCTGCCTTTGGAAATCAATCAAAATCAGATCACAGAGAGCTGGAAAGGAGTTAAGCCTTAGTGTCTCCTGTGCCAAGTATCCTAATTACCTGGCTCTGAAATACCACAGACACACAGACACACTCCTATACTCGCATCTTGTTTTTGGCATGGAATGAAAAAATTTTGGAAAATACTGCTGGAGAAAATCGTTATCCTTTAGGAAGTTCTTGTGGCTAGGAGCTGTGAGTGGAGTGAGTGGTGAATTCATTAATAGTCATCCACATGGCTAATGAAGTGCAGGAGGGAGGTTAAGGCACCAAGCTAGGGGCAGGAGCAGCTAGTTGTTCTTAGCTCAGTGCCTAAGGATGGTTGGGTTAATATGCAGGCAGGAACACTTGTGTGGTCAATTAGCTTAGGTGCAGCACAAGGTGTATGGAATTAATTTGAGCTAGCCTTGGTTCAGCTAGCATAGAATGTAAGGGCCGGGTATTTGATTCTATATGCAGTCATCTCCTATCAGGGTCGTGAAAAGAGCCATTCTGAGTGGAGATTTGCTCAAACAAGTCAGTTAAAAATGGTCAAAGACTTGATCAAAGTTCTACCCTTGTGGATGAACTGTGAAGCCAAGACACAGGTACTGCTTTTTTATTTCCCAAAGCTCGATTTGGGGCTGATAGGAGAACAGAAGTGTTCAAATACTGATGGTGTCATAAACAAGATTTTTTGCAGCCCATCCATTAAAACACGCCAACATCCATCTCCTCAGGAGTTCAGCCCAACTTCGAGCACACTTCTCTCCACTGACAGCCAGACACCTTTCCAGTGTGCATGTCCACTAAAGTCCTGATCCCACAAAAGGACTCTCTAATCAAACTCTCTGTGCAGGTCATGTCTAGTTCAGTCATTTTTTTCAGCACTCATCCTAAAACATGTTTTAGATGTAGGTTTGTCTGCATACTTGTGTATACGTAATAACTTAATGTTAAAGCACTCCACAGGTATGCAGGAGAGAAATTTCTGACTTCATTTGGTTTGGGGGAGGGACTTGGAACCATATCTCTCAAACTCCAGATGAGTTTGTGAAGTACCAGATCATTAAATATCTTTGTGGTTAATCTTTTATTCAGTAACATCTGTTACTACCTTCTTCTTCTATGTGTACAAGGAGATTTTTCTTCCTGTCTGCAGAATTGGAGATCTCACTTTTGCTCTCTGCTGACACAGCTGTGAGGCAAGGGACAATTCTTAAATCTTTGATAATCTCGTTAATAGTGAGGTAGATATATTGCCATTCAGCTCCACATCTCACATGTTTTCATCCTCTTTTCTGTCTGATGGAATCCAATTACTTCTCTTGAGATTCTGTTGTTGGGGCTTTTTTTTTGTGTTCTTGCTGGCTGTTTGGTCTTTTTTATCACAGGCTTCTTCAAGTTCCAATTGTTTGTTAGTTTAGAGCCTTTTACAAACTTGCAGTATTTACTTGTGTTTGTTTAATGTAACAAAATTGTTATAAGTCACACCTTTCATTTCATAATCTGTAAAATAAATTATGCTGCTTGAAGGTAATAATGTAGTGCTTCATTTAACACCATAAGGATGCTAAATTAAAAGCAGTTCTGCAAGACCTGACTTCTGAAAGAAAAAAGCCCATTGAAACCAAAGATAGCAAGGAAACCATGTAGAGCAGAATAACATTTTTACTTAGGAATGGTATTACTATTTCAATAATAGTGTTTTCTTATGAAAGCCACTTCATTCTTTATTTTCTGTTTATGGAAAAAATGCAAGAAATTGTTAGCAAGTCTCTTAAAATATTCAAATAATAGTCTTGTCAGTTGGCTTAACAGAAGTGTTTATTCCATAGGGGTCAGCAATTCATTTAAGGCGCATGCCAAAGTAATCCATTTCAAGTATGAACACATTAAATTTAAACACACACTTAGGTGACTATTTGAATCAAGGCCTAAAAGAAATACTGGTATTCAGAGTGATTCAGCATTGATCTGCTTCATTTTAGGAGAGTTTGGTGAAGTGTGCAGTGGGCGTCTAAAGCTTCCTGGCAAGAGAGACGTTGCAGTAGCCATAAAAACTCTGAAGGTTGGCTACACTGAAAAGCAGAGGAGAGATTTTCTGTGTGAAGCAAGCATCATGGGGCAGTTTGACCATCCCAACGTGGTTCACCTAGAAGGAGTTGTTACCAGAGGTAAGCAGCAGCTCAGTCTGTCAGTCAAATAGCAACACGATGGCAGAAAGTACTCTGCCTTATTCATGGTCAAAGATTCAAATTATAAACAGACTGCACACTCCTAATGGATTTTCTCCTGATGCGTAACTAACTAAAACAATACTTGCTTTATGCTACAACCTGAGGAAAAAAATTTAAATGCACACATGATTAAAAGATGAAGTACTTCGAAACATATTATTTTTCTAGTTTCATTTAGCCTCAAAGACCATGCAGAGAGATAAGGTTTCTCATGTCCTTTTATATAATCTGAAGTGTCATTATTCCAGAGTCCTGTTCACACAGCAGGAGTTAGGAGAGCACACTGACTTTTTGATTTGTATGGTTCGATTTTATGAATCATGACCACTTTCCATGCAGATATTTAAGAAATTAGAGCTCTTTAACAGTGCTGGAGGGCTCAGAAATGTTCAGTGTCTGAATGATTCAGTCCTTGAAAGAAATAGCATGTGTTTTATCAAAAAAAGGCACTCCATTTTTTTGCTGTTCTCAAATATCTGTCTTCTTTTCTTTCAGGGAAACCAGTCATGATTGTAATAGAATACATGGAGAATGGGGCCTTAGATGCATTTCTTAGGGTAAGTACTAAAATGAAACCCTAAATAAACATACTTGAAGTCACATATATTGTATATTGTCAATTAAAAAATATTTCTTATACCTGTGCATATATATGTATACATGCATATTTAATTAAAATATTAATTATATTTATATCATATTTATTATATTTAAGAATAATTAAAATTATTTTCAGGTTGAAATGGATTTTTGACCAATACTAGCAGGTTCTCTATGTTGTTTCAGCAAAACCAGATCAGAAATTAGAAGATCAGACAGGATCATTTTGGAATTTATGTGATTTTGTGTGGCATAGACACGGTGCATTTTATTATAGTCACCAGTTGAAGTTAAAACCACTGATAACTGAAGTCAAATCTTCACCCATTTGGGAGCAGAATTTTACCCTATCAGCATGGTGGAAATCAGCATAAAAGAATCTCTACATGAATTGCAATTCTATTTAAGAGATGAACAAGGGGAAAATAAATGTGAATTCACAACAATTTAGTATTGTTTAAATGTGTTCTGAACTTGCCAGTTCTGACTCCTAACCAGGTATGCACGTCAGGGTGAGATGATATGTAAACGCTCTATAGAGAACAGTTTGTTTTGTTTTTTTTTTAATAAAATCCAAGCTGTGAATGAAAATTATCAGTAGCTGGGGTTACAAAAAGGAGATAGTTCTTATTTTCTTGATACAAATAATTATTCTGAGAGATGAAGAGCAAGCTATAAGAACATTAGGAAATCTTCATTAGATTTTCTCTCCTGGAAGTGACTTGCCATGAGTTAGTGAGAAATATGCAGTGATTAGCAAGTTTTGTTACTACCAGTACATTAATTACTCACACATTTCTCAACTGGATGCACTGCTTTATCTCTGAAGAAGGTGTGTTTGAGGTGAGTTTCTTTGCCACATAAGGAGTAAATAACTGGAAAGCTGAAGTCATAAAACAAATCCTTATTTCTCTTCTCAGCTATACTAACAAGAATTGCTGCTCCTTTCTTCCCTCCAGAAACATGATGGGCAATTTACTGTCATTCAGCTAGTGGGAATGTTGCGAGGAATTGCTGCTGGAATGAGATATTTGGCCGATATGGGATATGTACACAGGGATCTCGCAGCACGCAATATTCTTGTCAACAGCAACCTTGTTTGTAAAGTATCAGACTTTGGCCTTTCCAGAGTTATAGAAGATGATCCAGAGGCTGTCTACACTACAACCGTAAGATAAATCAATGGGTTTTGATAGTTTTGAGATATGTTTGTTTAGAAGAAGTGTATCTTCTGGAGAGTATAGATAAGACAATTACATTAATTGATGGGGGGTTTTAACCAGTCAAAAGGAAGAGTCTCTGCAGACATCTGTCTCTAATTAGGGGATAATATTTTCATAAGAACATAAATTTTTATTGACTAAGTTCTAGACATTTTGTATGGTATCTTCTTTATTCCATTTCTCATGATTTTCTGATTGAACAAATAAGGAAGTTTTACCCACAAACATTTTAAACATCTAATTTACTATGAGTCAATTAAAATATTTGTAGGCTGTTACTATTTTTCGGGCTAGATTTTATCTCACCAAAGGGAGAGACTAGCTGGAGGCTAGTCTGTGACAAAGCTCAACTGCTGTGTTTTCCCTTGCTTTTGGGTGGGACGCTTTTCTTAAATATGCATTCATCAGGCACACTATGCTCTTTATTCTTTTGTTGAGCCAGCTCCACTTTCCCACCCATGGGGCCTCCCTGTACCTATTTTCCCATGCTGAGGGAAGGAGGGGCCCCTGGAATCTGCTCCGACAGGCACAGGGATCCAGGAAACCACACCGGTGCTCACGGCTGTCACTCCTGCTGTTGGGCTCTGAGTGGGATCCTGGTTTAAAAGTGTCAGACCAAGATTTTGGAGGAGCCATATGACACGTCAATGGGATTTATATGCACAGGTTGGGATTCCCCTCACCTAGCTTCAGCCAGCCAGGAGTTAAATGGCTAGTGTAAATCAGACATCTAAGCAGACCTTTAAAATCAGTGGAGGGAAAAGCACTTCCAGAGAAACTTGTACAAGTATCTAAGTGTCTGTGCTCTGAATGTTTTAAGATACTAAGTTTCCTTAGGCACCTTTGAGAATTGTGCAATCGGTCCACCATAGCAGATGATGTAAATGGTGCTCTTGATGTTGATGGAAATAATGGTAAACGCATTCTGTGGAAGATGACCTGAAAATTCTGTGGGTGACAAAGAGAAATTTCTCCTTTTTTTTTTTTTTCTTTTTTTCACAGGGTGGAAAAATTCCAGTGAGATGGACAGCTCCAGAGGCCATTCAGTACCGCAAATTTACATCAGCCAGTGATGTGTGGAGTTATGGAATAGTTATGTGGGAAGTAATGTCTTATGGAGAACGGCCTTACTGGGACATGTCAAACCAAGATGTAGGTTTGTCTGTTCATGGGCGTGCGTGTGTGTTAGTAAAAACAAAATTACATCTTGCAAACACATACATGTGTATTTCACTATAAATGCATAAAATGTTGGTTTAGAAATAAGACTTATCAAAGTACTGTGTGGTTGTCACAAAATGAAAAATTTGCAGACCTTTCACTTTTTACCAAAATCAATTTATTTTTTTTTTTTACCACATGGATATTGTAGGTTTCTGTCCTAAATATCAATTAAAAACTAGAACATCAAAATAGTAATATGGGGTCTTTACTATGCTTAAGTGTGGAGAGAATTAATTTTTTTTCCAATAAAAAATAATTCTGAGGTTTTTGACCTTAGAGCAATGATTAATCATTTGAAAAAAGTTGTTAAAAGTCTGAGTGGCAGTTAATGACCTACTTTGGCTTTTTCAAGTTAATTATGCTGATTTAAAAGCACCCTTGTTTGCATAAAATATGATCCAGAGCAACAGGTCAGCAGTAATAGAACAGATGGGTGTTAATCTTGACTTCTGACAGGAGTATCTATTAATATAGAAATTACACAGGAAAAAGCCATACAGGTATGATAGATGTCAGAAAGAGTGTCATTTAAAGTTCTTCAGGTTGGAGCTTGAGTGGTTTTTTTAATTGTTATTTTAATTTTTGATTGAATGATCAACATCAAAGTTAGAAAAAAAAAGATAAAAGTGTAGATGATGAGTCAGTTTGGCACAGTGCAAAGTTGTTAATATTTGACAGGTCTCAGTGTCAAAGATTTCATGGACTGTCAAAATATGGGCAAACAAGTCCTTGGGGCAGAGAAAGAGAAATATTTACATTCCCCAGACACCCAGTAGAGTTTCATTTCTTTTGACACCTTCCTTCTGTACTAGATTCAAACATAAAAGAAGTCTGACAGGAATATAAGATGCCTCAAAGGCAAACCTTACCTATCTTTCAGGGAACAATAAGGAAAAACTTTGAAACAGAGGAGAAATTTTGATATCTTTATGCTTCTTATTAGATTTAGAAAAGTATTCCTCTGTCGAAAACTGCATGTAAAGCACATGAAAAAAATCAGATTTCAAAAACCAGCTAATTGCCACTTCTTACAGTTTTATCCCTTTTTAGCGTCTTTCATGATATTCTTCAATAGCACATAGTTAAAAGCTGCATCAATTGCATGGTAAAATTCCAAATATTCTTGTATGTTGTGATCTTCAGACATGTTCTTCTATACCGCATACACATCCTACCAATCCCTAGATAATCCATGATGTAAATATTTAGAATCACCTAATGATTTGTTATTTGTTTTACTTCAAAGTCACCAGTTGGAGTATTTAACGGTAATGAAAAATTCTAAATGTGTTCTTCTAATTTTGCACTCATTTTTATACTTTAACTGTGTCATTTTGCCTAAAATTGGATGTGGGTGTACCCATAGAGCAGACCAGATCTCTTAAATAATAGGCCTCCCTGACTTTGGATCTTTAGATAGCATTTCTTTAATCCTGTCCCTTCCTCCTTTAAGTCATTGATTTAGACTGATGGAGGATACATATTTGCATTGTGAACTCTTTTCAAGCAAAACCCTCCTTTTAGCAATGACCTGGGGCTAGAGTGCACCAGAAGAACACTCATCCTACAAACTCCTTGCAGAGGCACAGCAGGCTGAGCACAGATGATAAATAGAGGTCCCAACTTCCCTGGGCAGTGGGCTCACCTCAGTTTAATCCTTGCTAGTAGAAGTAGCCCTGAAACCCCCATTCCCCTCTTACACTGCTGATGTTCTTGCTCCCAATTTGTTTCTAACCTCAGCGCAGATTAGTTCTTCAGAGAAGGGCAAGGCTATACTTCTGCATTTCTTACCATTATTATAATTATTAATTTGTATTGTTATATTGTATGGCCATAGTCAGAGTTACAACATCACATTGTCCAGTTACCCTTATTTAATATTTCCTTGTTGGCATTTAGTATATAATGTAACTAGACTCAGTCCTTTCTATCTTGTTTTGCATACTCAGCCTGCTTATGGTGAAAGCATAGTTTTAACAGTATCCCCTTTTACTCTTTTTGCAGCAAAAGCAGAATTTCAAAAACAAATTGTGGGAAGTGTAGATAATATAAACCAATTCTATTAGTGAGAACTCCAGCTGTTTTCTCTTTGTAAGTTTGCTTATTAAAAAAAAAAAAATCCTGCATCTATTTAATTTTCTTCGAGTACTGATGTTTTGAACCACACCTCCTTCTTTCTTAACAGAGTGGACACTTGTTGTACTTTACTTATCAATATTGTGGAATATTTTTTCAGTGTTTTGGATATTCACAGCAATTCCATCCATCTCTAGCTGACTCATTATTTCATATTTCCCAGTTTCACCCTTCTTGCTCAGAATAGATATCAGAGAAGCTGATTGTGAAGTAACACCTTTCAGAAAGATCATCATCATCATCTTGATTCCCAGTTTGCTTCAGGTTTATCTGCAGTTCATAGTGAATGGGGAAAACTCCTGTTCTGATCCCTTCATTCATGTTTTCACTCTCCCTTACATTCTTGGATAGAGTCTTGTGTAGTTTGCCAGTTTTAAGGGTATTAAATATTTTAGTGGTAGCGCTGTTGTTGCTGGCACCTACTTTTTAATTTCTCATTGGTGATCTCTGTCTTCTGACCTCTTAAGCAACTACTTCATTTGTAGTAAATCATGCATAGCATGCTCAAAGTGTTTAATGCCTTTTACTATTTAGAGGGTCAGAAATCCCTGCATTACTTTTCACAGCACAGCAATTGTCCTGTACACACTGTAAAATTATTTTTCACTTTCATTCCACTACTACTTCTAAGCATAAGGAGCTGTTCTTTTCTTTTTCCTCTTAATATAGCTCTAAAGGATCTTACATTTTACTTTTAATGTTTTTCTTCACTATATAGCTCTGTTCTTCCAATTTCCCTGTTCTTCTGCAGAAAACCTCTCTCCACACCCTCCCTGACAGACAACTTCAACGTTTGTAAAAGGTCACTGCACTCAGTCTTCAAGGTGTGAATGTTTCTGCAGGAATTGAATATTTCTCAGTCATTTTTGAGCTGTAGGACAGTACTGTCATTCTAAATGTTCAGAGAGAAAGCTGAGGCCTAGGGAGATGAGGCAACTTCCCTGAGGTCAAAAGGACATTCTGTGACACAAAACTGCAGTCAGTGCCTTACCACTGGGCTATACCTTCTCTTTTCACAAAATTTCTTTTATGCAAAAGGTTTTGATACAAAACCTGGCTGGATTTCAGCCAGCTTTTTGAAGGTCATTCTGTATTGTCTGCAGTTCTGTCTACTTTGCAGTCCACTACTTCTACGTTTTCTCACACAACCTACAAAATATTTTCTTTCTGACGTCATTATTTTTACTAAAATCTGGATATTCACCAACATTGTTTATCATACCAGATCTACATCCCAGAACTACATCTAGAACAGCTTCTGATCTTGTTTTCTATACAAAATGAGGGAGAAGACAGTCCTATGCACTCCTCTTCAGGAACAAGCACCCTTCCTTAGCAATTCTAATGCTGCTGTGTCAGTCAATGTCAGTATACTTGAAATCCCCCATGAACAGTGTTTTAGCCCTTTTTCACTAGCTTTTCTTATCTGCCTTGTTTCCTGATGTGCTTTTTTTATTCTGCCCTCAAGGTTTACAGCAGTTTGCTGTGATTTTACTTTATCCATTTTTATTTTTATTTAAATCCAAATGGACTCGGCTAAGGAAGTCAACGGGTGGGTGTAATTCTTGGTTCAGACATTTATGCTGTCCTTTGATCATATCATCATCTAGCAGCATCTCTTATTAAATCTAACTTTCTGTGATATATTAAAATAGCATTTACCCAGGTCTTTCTCTCTCACGCAGTTCTGCTGCTTTGTCATTCATATAACATGGCTAGACATAGAATACATCTTTTTTCTTTAGCAATTTCTATCTGCTAAACATTTTTCTTGGATCCTTTTATAATACCTTCAGGCTTCTTGTATTTTATATGTGCATGCACAGATATCCATCCATTTAAAAGTCAGTTGCTTCTACCACACACTCTTTCATAAAAACCTTGGGGCTAGTAATAATGCTTTCTGAAATAACTCAATTTATCAATCTATCTGCTGCTCCCTCAGTGAATTTAATTGTTGTTCCCTGCTACTCACTTGTCTAGGTAATATAGCTATGTTCTGCACATATAGAACAGTATGCTAAATAAGCCCAAAGATAAAGCTGGGGAAATTATTTGAAAACCTGAAGGCTAGTGTCAAAACAACTGACTCACATTTTTGCAACATCAATGGCAAATTTTAGTTTATTGATTATTTTATTTTATTTTATTTTGTCTTAGATATTTGAACTGGGTAGCAATACATATTCTTTAAATTACTGTCAATGAAAAATGATGAACTATTTTGGCTACTAGGTTATAAAAGCAATTGAAGAAGGCTATCGTTTGCCAGCACCCATGGATTGCCCAGCAGGACTGCACCAGCTGATGCTGGATTGTTGGCAGAAGGAACGCGGTGAAAGGCCAAAGTTTGAGCAGATAGTTGGCATTCTGGACAAAATGATTAGAAATCCAAACAGCTTGAAAACGCCCCTGGGAACCTGTAGCAGGTAAGAAAAGCTTTAGTGTGTGTTCTTATCAGTGCACATGGCTGGGCTCTGGATGTTCTGCTTGGTGGCTGGTTCCAGTTCACACTTATTTATTTCATCTATCTTTCAGTTCTTCCTTCTTTCTGTCCCCTGTTCTTCTCCTCCCTCATTTGCCCTTCTTTTTTACCATGCTAAACAAGCCAAAAAAGGACTTTCTTAGAAAAAAAAAAAACAAACCAAAATAAATATCGCAGAACTAACACATTTCTCAGTAAACTACTGCCTGCTCATCTTTCTGCACTCTCACCACTAGTCTTTGTTTTCCTTGTTTCTTAAAATTATGAAGTCTGGAGGGCAAGGATCATTGCCTACTGTATGTTTATATGATGCATCCCTTGCCCTAGGAACTGCTACAGTAGAAATAGTAATTAACAATACTCATGCTTGGCCAGTGTACCTTGACATGCTACACTCTAGATTTTTATCTTTCATTTTCTGGCTTTAACTTCTTTCAGTGATTGCATCTCATTGTATTTCATGATGTAGTTTTTAATGGCTTCTTCATAAATTTCAGGTGAATTATCTAATCATGGTAATCTTTTGATCTGCTAGCTAGACCACTGTACTAGGGAATCAGCTGGCCTGTGTTCTGCTCCTGATTCTTCTACTGACTGATTTGCTGTGTGACCTTAAGCCTTTGTGTCTCTGCTCTTCCCTTGTCTTTGTTTTGTCCCATCCAATTGAAAAATGGGAGTAGCTGCTACTATATTTTCTAAGATGCGTAAAAGAATACCATCTTTATTTTACTCAGCAACATAGAGACAGCTGCTGTCATGCTAGGTAATAAGGTTGATTTTCTGTTGGTAACAGTAGTCCATTAGGCTGATTTTGCTCACTCTGACCTTTCATCTTTTATGTGAATAAGCTTAGGAAGTACATATTGTGAGCCACAGCGCAGTCAAGAGCTATTCACAGAATAATCTAAACTGTGTATAAAGGCCTATTACTTTCTACTCTCGACATTTTTAATACCCAAAACTTATTTGACTCTCACCTTGCTAAATACTCCCTGATGTTTTACTCTCTTTGGAAACAACTTACTTTCCTTTTTCCTTCTCCATAGACCAATTAGCCCTCTTCTGGACCAGAACACTCCCGATTTTACCACTTTCTGCTCCGTAGGCGAATGGTTACAAGCTATTAAGATGGAAAGATATAAGGATAATTTCACAGCAGCAGGCTACAACTCTCTTGAATCAGTTGCCAGGATGACTATTGAGTAAGTTAGTACTGGGCATGTTTAACTTGCATTTAGGGAATTTCTAGGTACAACAATACGCAATGTTCAACTCCAAAACTTTACCTTGAGTACAAACATTGTACTTGGGGGTCAAATCAGCCATTTTAGCAGCTGATGATGTTGTATTAGAATATCTCATAATAGGGCAAATACCCTGCTACCTCTGTGTGGCATCCCATTTTTCCCTGCCTTTCAGACCAATTGAAATAACACAAAGGGACTAGAATTTGAGGGAGAATGTGGCCCCTTCCAAAGTATGTATGTATAGGAAAATAACCATTTTGCCTCCACCACCTAATTGGTACTTTTTTCCCCGATGTGCTCTGGGAAGATGTGGAATTTTCTTCTAATTGGCTGGGGGCTGTCTGTGTCCTGCAAGACAGGGCTTTGCATCAGGATAAGTCTGTAGAAGCAAAACAATTTTCTGAAGGCAAACACGGCCTGTATCAGTACTGTCATCTTAAAACAGGTCTTCTTGGCACCCTGCAAAAAACGTTCTTGTCCTGGTGGTTGCCAAACACATGTAATTCCTTTTAGAGAGCGGTGGGTTTCTAAAAAAGTTTCTAAGCCAATATTCTCAAGAGTTCAACCCTATTCTTATCTACTTGGTGTCACCAGGGGTCTCAGCCTATAGCTTGGGAACTGTTGTCAGAGTCCACAAGCTTCTAGCATTAGTAGGGGCGGAGTTCAAACTGCTGCTCCTCATTCATTTGCATGATGGGTATGTGTCAATATGCAAAGGCATCTAGGCATCTCTTTAGGAAACAGACTATGATCCCCAAAATCTTCTATTTATGCATCACTTTGTCCTGAAAACCACCTGAAGTATTTTACAAGAGAAGTGTCTTTGTCTTCGGGTGTCCTTAACAGACACACCGTAAGATGATCAGATAAGATCATGTAAAACATGCTGACCTCCTTCTCAGATGTGGAGAGCCACACAGTGCAATTGCATGACACCTGTCATGTAATTGCACTCGTGGTTGAACAGTGCCTGTATGAAGTTCCCAGTACTGAGTGAGGTTACAGCGCAGCTTCCGTGTAGTTCAGAACCCCGTAGTCCAAACTGCTGCATAGCTTTGACTCACAGTTGAATACCATACAATAGCAGTCTAAGTTGAAAAATTAACAATGTACGCATTTATCTTCCCCAGGGATGTGATGAGTTTAGGGATCACGTTGGTTGGTCATCAAAAGAAAATCATGAGCAGCATTCAGACTATGAGAGCACAAATGCTACATTTACACGGCACTGGCATCCAAGTGTGATAGACATTTCTCCCTTATGAGGGAGGTGACAGACTGAGAGAACAGCACTGGCCTTCAGTATATATGAAGTGCTGCTAGAAGACACTTGATTTCCTGGGTCCTTCCTGCAGTGAATAGAAGAGCTACAAGAAGCACCTACAGACTTGAACTCCTAAGTGCCACCAGAATTTATGAAAAGGGAATTAGGATCCACCAGTGGTGGCAAGGAAAACAGCAGTGACAATAAACAAAGTACTACCTGAATAAACATACAAACACCTTGAGCTCTCTAACCTCCTTTTTATCTAATAGACTTTTTAAATGTACATAAAAATTTAAAAAAGAATATATTTGTCAGATAAAATCATGATATTATTGTTGAATTCAACAAAATATTTTCCTTAAATCTGTGATTTCTGAATCTTTTTTTAATCATTTGTGTTTATTCTTCATAAAGACTTTCTTTTAGTATGATGTTTATATCTTTGGACCTTTTTAGTGCTAATTCAATGACACATTACTACACTGGGTACCTCTGAATTTGAGTTCCTAGAGATTTAAGAAGCATGACCAAGCAATGTATATCTATCTGAACTTTGGTATCCCTTTGTGCCATTTCCTTTTGTTAAGTCAACACCGTATTGACATGGCTAGCTAATTGGCAGGGAGTCAGGAAAATGCAAGTTGCCAAGAGCTCTGATATTTTTTAAAGAATTTTTTAAGGTTATACATATGCTATCTTTTAAAAGAAAATAAAAGAGAAAAAAAAAAGTAAGAAAAAGAAAAGCAATAATGACCCCTAAGTAGTTCTAGGCACTTTTAGCAAATCGTTTGCAAGATGATTTTAATGGACTAGAATTAAACTGAGATACGTTCTAAGATGTAGATCGACAGCTGTAAACCTGCTGAGACACAGCAATGGACAAGTGATTGTAGGAGTGTCTCAGAGCATGGGTGCAGTTCTCCAGTGTTACCTAAACCATTTAATCTGAGCACATCACATTTTTTTTCAGTACTCTGCATTAGCAAATCTAAGAGAAATAGCTGGTGTATATTTTCTGTGAGTTTAAGCCGTATGCAGTCCAGCTGTCAGAATAAGGACATAGCTTTTATATGAGAACTGTAGAGCATGAGACAAGGGGCAGTTCAGAATTTTCAATTTTTTTACAAGCTTTTGCTGCTCTGACGAACACGCGTGTGTGTGGTCACACAGACACAACGGTCATTCATCAGGAACAGAGATGCAAAGGTAGTTGCTCAATGGAATATCTTTTTACACCATTTACTTATATATTAATTTTCTTTGATTAAAATATTTAATTATCATAAGCAATAATGAACAGAGTCTTTACAGATATTGCAAGAATGTACATGAACCAGAGAGAAATGCTTTAAAAAAAAATCTGAAAATTGTGAACTACCCCAGCAATGAAATGCTGTACTTCCAAAGAGAATTGGGCTGCTTCTATTGATTTTGATAGAGAAAGATCCCAGGGATCAGTCATAAATTGGTCTGGTTTGATAATGTGGGCATCCACACAAAAAAAATAAAAAACAAAAGAAAAACCTTGTAAATGTTCCTTTGTAAAACTTGTAAATTTTATTTATACTGTCTTGTTTTGTACACACATTTATGTGTAGTGAGCTCTGAATACATTGAAAATGCACTATATTTTTCTATTTTACTTGCAGAGCATCACAAACAAACATGTATATTCAGTGCTACATAATGTGTTTTCCCACATTTAGGACCAAAGATAGTTATCAAAAACTTAAATGCATCCTTTCCCCCCCCCTTCCTTTTTTCTCCCCCTTTTTAGATCACTGTACAGTGTTATATTTGTCATTTTATTTATTTGTTTCACTAGAAAAATCAGTTTGGTTATACTAATTTTTTGTCCCCACCCGCCTTTGTTGAAGAAAATCTGTAAAAAGCTTTTAACTAGCATAATCCCGATACATAGACACTTCCATTTGTAATCTTTGTAATAGACTGTAAATATATTTTTGGAACTATAATGCAACGTGCATAAGGGTTATTTTTCAGTGTCCATATATGATTGTTTATACAATTCACAGCACTTTACAGTCATGCTGAGAAGCCTAATTTATTGCCTGGATTTGGGCAGAGTAAGAAAAAATGGTGACTATTCTTATTTCGTATTAGATTGTCATTCAGTCGTAACGGAGTTATTTTCACGTATGCAGCTCAAGCTGGTTTTTTAACTATTAAAATTAATTTTCTAAAAAATATGTAGGAATAAGACGCAGAGTAGACTGCATGCCCAATATTGGAATTAGTGCACGCAAGCACTCGGCCAAGGCACTTCAAGTAGCCATTAGAACAAAATTTTAAAATACACAATTAATAAACATCCATTTTGTGTTATAACAAATGCTAAGTGCCTCACTACTGTGGTGAGCATCTGTGGGCAGCTGGGCAGGGTGCTTGACAGTGTTGTTGCTGCTTTAGGCACCCAGCTAGGAATTCAGGAGTCTTTAAGTTCAGACACCTGCTTCCTTATAAATCTCGGCTACTGTTTCTAAGGGCTTGGTCATCAAAGGTGCGATGCAGCAATGCTGGTATTGCTGAGAATCTACAAACCCTAAATGCAAAAGAATTGAGGCCAGGCTTCACCTTTAGGACTTGTTCAATATTCTGAAGCACAGAGGCCTCAAAGCATGTGTGGTGATTTGGGCTCACGCATGTACAAGTGAGGGCCCTAATGGTATTTCTTCTTTAATTTTCCTGATTTGATTTAAGCCATCTTCTTTGAATAGTAAATATATTTTAGCATTCATCTATATACCTTGACTGCCTTAATGTTGCCACAGATTTTTACACATTTGAAAGTGGTAGAGTAGACCCAGAAAGCACAATCGCGATCAACCGCAATCAATCAGATAACTTATCTACATGTTCAGATCATTACTGCAATTTAGAGCACATGCATGTAAATGGATTTGTAACTGGTAGAGCAGCAAAATATTGACATCAGTTGCAGTTCCCCAGGTTTCAGAAAACACAGTCCAGGGTAGGAAAAAAGTGCCAGAGAAAGTTGATGCTCATGGAAGGAACTGAAGAATAAGTTGGGTTGAGGGGAGAATGAAAGGCTAAATGATGAAAGAAAAGAAAAATTCAGTTCTGGCTTTATTTCAAAGAATTTGGACATTGTGCATTGCTAATGACAGATTATGAGGCTGTCAGTGATACTCATATTCCTTGACTTTATTTATCTGCAAGCATCTAGAAGAGAGATGCCTTAAAAAAAGCAGGATGGATCTCCCTCTGGAAATGCTTATCTCCATTAGAGGGAAGGTAGAGGGAAGACAGATGATTAGCTAAAATTAGGCATCTAATATCTATATAGTTAAAGTAAGGTAAAGTGATTCCTACCCTATCTGTCCTTGGCTGCTGCAGTTTTCCTTGAAAGCCGAGTGTCATAGAAAGGCAGCTCCTCCACCACTGGTATATCCCAGAATGTATTTAAACTGGGCTTTATTACAGAGAGAGGTGATTTATTATTATTATTATTATTATTATTATTCAGAGACTTGTAACAGGCCATCTAAATGCTTTTTGTATGTGGATATCAATTCTTGAATTTTTTTGTGATTGTTCTGAGGAAGACCCGCCTAGTAAATTACAGTTATTTAATATTTTAAATACTCAGAAATATTTGCTGACATACTGCTTTAGTCCAGAGGTTATGTGATCAGATATGATAGTTGCTGTTTGCAAAACCATGTTTATCTAAAGCCTTGTCATGTAAAATCTCCAGGAGGCAAAGATGCTTAAATGTATCTCAAATTGAATGTTGCCCTTAATATCTCAATAATTGAGCTCTGTCTGTATTATTTTCAATTTAAAATGAGGTTTTTTATATTTGTTTAAGCTTGAATTATCTGGCAGCCACTGAGGGAGTTTGAAAAAGTGATTTTAAATTAAATTTGTTTTTTTCCACTAATAGTAATATACGATGAATAGTTTCCACTGTTTTGAATGTTACAAATCTATTGCTTTAATGTGGGGGATGAACGGGGTTTATTTTTGTTTTGTTGTTGGTATTTTTTTACATTTATTGGTTAGTAGTTGAAATAAAAAAATAATAATTTGTCCTTAACTTTCTAAGTAATTCATATTTAGCAATTTTGAGAGTGATTTAAATTCCGTGACTTTTGGGTTACTGCTGGGAGGGTGAGCATGTCACTACAGCCATAATGCCAGGTGATACACCCTGCCACACGGGCAGGTTCAGCCAACATTCTGTTGCCCAGTAATGACATGAACCAGTTCACTGGCTGTGTGAAAGGATTGAAGGGCAGCTCAGCCAAAAAATGGTCATTTCACCTTTTAAAGCTATGTTTGTGACATGTTAGAGCTAAAACATCCTTAATTCATTGCTTCCCTGCATGTGGTTTAAAACTGGTGTGCTCATGATATGCATTTGATCTTTGGTGGATTTTGTTTGTTGGTTGGGCTGTTTCTCTTACTTGTTTTATTTTAAACAAGTGACATTTGGGGTTATCATGGAAGAGAACAAATCCCGTACAGAATGAAAAGTTCTGTTTTAGAAAAGTGTAATATGAATTCTTGCCCAAGAGCCATTCTGGCAGCAGGTGCTGCAGGGGTATTCAGAGAGTTGGTGCTATGATTTGCTGAGCACCTATCGCAAAAGGTTTTCTCCATCTTCAGGACCTGTTAGGATTGTACTTCTGATCAATTAACTGATATATGGAAACAGGTGAATTTTTTCCCCACTAACTTGTAGTGGACCTACATCTGGTAGATTTGAGATTTCTGAGACTACTCAAAAGCCTTAGCCAAAAACAAGTTTCTAGTAAAACAAGAAATCCTGGGCTGCAGCCTATGTTTTTTCTTGTAATCCCTTAAGGGCTTTAAATGTAGCCAACAATTACTTTTAAACAGAGATCTTTACTGTTTGAATAGTGCAGCCGTCTATTTACTAGGAAATAGGCAGTTCTGCAATTAAAGTTCCTGCAAAAATGGATTGGGGAGGGAATGCAATGGTTTAGGGGAAAAAAGAAGGAAAAACCTCATCTAACAAGTGGACTGTGAAACCCAAACTATAACAGGGCTCCCTATTTTTGTAACACATTCCATACAAGGATTTGAAAAATATAAATGATTAAACCACAGGCATACAAATTGCAGTATCCTGATGAAAGAGTTGTGGCAGAATGCAAGCTAATTTTGTGAGAGTTTTTCCTCTGGATTTGTTTTTATGAGACTTTCAAGTTACAATAATTGACACATGCATTTAGAGCCAAATCTGTTGGGAAAAACAAAATGGATAAAATTTGCATGTCTATAATATCCATGAAATTCTCAGAGCACTTTCAGGGTGGGCAAGGGGTAGGCAGTTTGAAAGCGAAAGGAGTGATGTGTATACCCTGTAGGTTAAATCCAACAAGATTATGAAAGGTTAGAAATTATGGATGAAAACTCTCGGTTTGGTACATGGTGAGAAGTCAGAAGATGGGAGGGAGTGGGAAGAGAGCTGTGAAGTCATTCAGTGTCTAAGTTGTAGGTTCCACAGGACATTCCTGGCAGGGGAGTTAAGGAGTGTGAAGATTTTTTAAGTAAAGAGATACTGTTAATATAATATACCTAACAATGTAGCGTAGAGTGGTTTCAGTACTCTGATTTTTCCTCAGGCCAGATTGGAATTTGTCAAAGAGACTAAATTGAGACAGATGGGAAAGCAACTGGTAATACACAACTCATTCAAGCAGACTTGAAATCGAGACATGAAAGGAGATTTTTACAATAAAAGCCTGAAAATAGGACATGAACTGTGATGGTATTTACTCTCAGATGATTTTAGAGTAGCTCTCTTTAAGTCTCGTATAATGATAGCAGATTTTAGCACTTATACCATACAAATTGGGTGAAATTAATGTCTAATTAAAGTGACCAAAAAAGAAGCACAAGTTAAAAAATAACTGATGTCTTGATAGACTATGAAAAAAGATGTGATACAGCCAGGCAAAACTTGTGTAGCCAGCCAAATGAATCTTGGACAAAACAAGACATAATGCCTGGTGCCAGAAGAGCTAAATCAGGAATAGAAAATCTATTCACCCATAGACCAAGGCTTCTGCTTGGTTATTTAATTGAACCAAATAACCAATTGTAGAGCTGTGCTGCTAATAATAATTAATAATAAAAAACTACAACTTAGAGGTTCTCTGATGAATCATTACATGGCTAACACTGAAAAACACACACAGTGCTATGAGCCATAGCTGTGCCCAAAGACTTATGTGTGCTACTGGTATTAGAGTTCCATGACTCTGAGTATGTCATTTATAAACTGGAGACATTATAGCCCCAAGCCCATAACTAAAGCCTTCCCTTTTTTGTGCCAAAACAAAACAGAAGAAATTATGAGAGTCTGTAGGATTGAGCAAGTGCAATAGGAATTATCTTGTTATTATATTACCCAGAGATGTAGAGTCTCTCTCACAAGACATTCAAGAACCCTCTGGATGCAATCCTGTTCTGTGTGCTCCACAATGACCCTGCTTGAGCAGTGAGGTTGGACAACATGCCCCAATGCGGTCCCTTCCAACCTGACCCATTCTGTGATTTTATGATTACTTCCTTAGAATTATGAAGAAAACCATTAATTTACATTAAGGAACAAACTTCCTGATCCAAAGATACTGTCTCACTGAGAAGAAAAACCATCCATTATTTTTACTGAAACATTCAAACCTGGCTTGCAAGAGTCTAGACTTAATGATAGATAGATAGATAGATAGATAGATAGATAGATAGATAGATAGATAGATAGATGATAGATAGATTGTATCCACATTGATCCCTCTCATTTCATGTCTGTAGAAACATTACTCAGGCAATTTCTTGACTGTTGTTCAACCTGTGTTACTATGCCAACTTCCACTGGCTTCCTGAAGAGCTGTATGTCCATTTTGACATGTCTGCTGTAAAATGTTTTCATTTCCTTTTCTCAGGGACAAAGAGCCTCTGC